GTCAGTGCGCTCAGCCTGGCCGAGCCAACCCGCCGGCCGCCGAGCACCGTTCCGCCCTGGTCGGCGGTCGCCGATCTTTCCCGCAGCGATGCGCTCCGCCTTCCGCCCGCATTCTCCTCCGCTGCGGCGTCCGGCTGCTCGTCGCCATCCGAATCGATGCCACGACCATCCTGGTCCATGTCGACGTCCATGAGGTCGAGGCTGGCGCCGCCACCAGATCGGCCTGCAGTGGCGAGGGCCAGCGCTGCCGCAGCACGAGCCTCGTCGCCCGGCTTGAGGCGTGCGGCATCAAAGAGGGCGTCCAGGCCGGCGTTGCCGGCCAGCGCCATGCGCAACGACTTTCTCGGTCTTCTGTCGAGCGTCGGCGTATCGGGCTGCAGGCCCTCGCCTTCCCCGGCGCCGACGCTGTCGCGGCTGCCACCCCCACCTACGGCGTCGCCGACGGGGCTCGTGCCGGCGCCAACACCGACGCTGCCGAGGCGGCTCGCCTCCCTGGATCGCCGAAGCAAGTCACCCTTGACGCCTGCGCGACCGTTGTCGTTGACGGCCATGCCCTCCCTCTCGATGGCGCGGGTGCCCCAGTGCTGCAGCTTCCTGCCCTCGCCGTGGAAGAGGGTGCCGGGCGGGTTGAAGGTCTGGGCGTTGCCGACGACGAGCTGGAAGTCGCGCTTGAACTCGTCCATGTGCGAGTAGAGCCTGTCTTGCACCTTCTTCTCCATGGTGCCAAGGTCCATGGGGTGCTCGATGAAGTCGAGGTAGTTGGGCACCTCTTCGAGGTCGACGGGCTCCCAGAAGAACTTGTAGCTGTCCCGCCGCTTGAGGTTGTCGATGAGCTTGGGCAGTGCGTCGTAGAGGCCCTTGGAGCGGAGACGCTTGATTGGCCTGGATCTCGAGCCCGAAGAGTAGATGGCCGGCATCGCAGGGGCCGAGTGGTGGGTGCGTCCGCCGTCGTCGGACTCGTCTTGATCCATGTCCTCCTCGCGACGGCCGTGCGCCTGGTGACGAGATGGGCTGCCATTGTCGTCGTCGTCGTCATCCTCTTCGTCCTCGTCCTCGTCCTCGTCCTCGTCGCTGTCTTGCTCGCTGTCGTCCCTGGCCTCTTCGCCATCGACGCTGCGGTTGCCTACGGCACTGCGGCCATCGTCACTCTCTCCTTCTTGTTGTTCTTGGGCGTCATCCTCGTCCTCATCCTCGTCGACGGCCTGGCTGTCCCCGCTGCCATCACTTCGACTGTCGCCGTGGTCCTCGTCGTCTTCGTCCTCGTCCTCTTCATCCGGAGCGGTCCGGCTGGGCCTCCTCTTGAGGGAGATGCGCAAGCCCACCCTGGCTCCGCCGTTGACTGGCTCAGAGGGTGGCGGTTTCGGCCGGGGAAGCTTGATCTGGAGCCGTCGCCTCTGGCCAGCGGGCGGATTGGACATGCCCTCGGTATCTGCTGGCGCCGGGGTCGTGCGTCGGCGGCGGCAGCAGCAACCAGCAGCAGCGCCGAGGCCGGGCGACTTACCACTGACTCTACCTCGCCCTTTGAGAACCCGTGCGACGCCCTTCTTTGGCCGTGCGTGCGTTGGATGGACACGGCTGGCGTCTGCTTCTGCGTCTGCGCCTGCGCCTGCGTCCGCTTGTGCTGCGGATCGACTGAGCCGCGCTCTGGCTCGACCTCTAGCCTGTGTGCTTGCTTGTTGGCGTGCTGGCTGGCTTGCTGGGTTGCCGTGCGTTGGGGAGGGGCTGGCGTTGCCTTTGCCAGACTTGCTCTTGGCTGGCTTTGCTTGCTTTGCTTCTGCTTGACTGGAGCGGGCGGGGCAAGGGGAAAGGGAAGCGAGGTGTGCCCCCCCGGCCGCGCCTCTTGCACGCCCCGACCCCACCTCCCTCGCCCTCATCCTCGCTGAGATCACATCCTTCTCCTGCCTGGCACCGCGTCCTGCATTTTCGGATCCGCGCGGTCACGGAGCAAAACAGGCAGCAGGCCGGCCAGCAGGCGTCAGAAGCTTCGAAGGCCTGCCTGCCGCGCACGCGCCACGCGACAACGCCAGGCCCTCCACCACCATCGGCCCCCCGAGGCGGCCAGCCTGTGACCTTCTTCTTCTCATTCGAGGCACCAGCAAGCAGCACACATGATTCGGGGTTCACCATTGCGGGCTGGCCTACTCTGCAACACGCCATCTAGATCACGATCACTTGTGAGCCCTTTCGGGATGGGGCCCGCGCGGAGTCGCCCATCCAGCCACCATTTGCCATCTGGCCCGGCAGCCGCACGGTTGAGCGAGCCCAGGCCAAGTCATGTCGGAGACCGGGCATGCGGCAATCCGGCATGCCCGCCTGCGACGCCGTGCGATGCTCAAGCGCACTCGACCGGGTTGGGCCCGACGGCGCCGGCGGCGCCCTTGTCGCACTGGTCGAGCCGGTCGACGTCGGCCTGCTCGAGCTCGAAGCTGTACAGGTCGGCGTTGGAGACGATGCGCGACGGCGTGTCCGACTTGGGCAGCGGCGAGTAGCCCTTCTGCAGCGACCAGCGCAGCAGCACCTGGGCCCAGCTGACCTTGTACTTGTCCGCGAGCTCGTTGAGCAGCGGGTCGCCGGCGTAGGCGCCGCGCACGATGGGGCAGTAGGCCTGGAGCACGATGCCGTGCTTCTGGCAGAAGTCGACAATGGGCTTCTGCTGGCACCAGGGGTGGATCTCGATCTGATTGATGGCGGGCGTCTCGCCGGCCGCGACCATCTCCTCGAGGTGCTTGACGCCGTAGTTGCTGACGCCAATCACCTTGGCCTTGCCCTCGTCTCGCAGCTTCTTGAGCGCGTTCCAAAGGTGCTTGCGCCCCTCGGTGCCCGAGGTGGGCGTGTGGATGAGGAAGCAGTCGACATAGCCATCCAGGTTGGCCTTGTCGACGCTCTGGCGCAGCGACTTGAGCGTCTCGTCCTCGGAGCTGGCGGGCGAGAGGATCTTTGTGGTGAAAAAGACCTGCTCGCGCTTGCCGCCGTCCTTGGCGATCCACTCGCGCACAGCCTCTCCAACCCTATCGTGCAGAAGCGAGTTTCGAGGCGTTCAAGGAACAGCCGCCAGCATGCGAGGAGACGAGGAGTCAGCAAAGGTATCCACTCGGCGGTCTCGTCTGTCGCCATCGCTACCCGCTCCGTCGCCAACTCACTGCTGCTCATTCTCGTAGTACTGGGCGCAGTCAATGTGCCTGTAGCCGGCGCGGAGGGCGGCGAGGACCGAGGCCTTGGTGACGTCGGCGGGGCTGTTGTAGACGCCGAAGCCGAGGACGGGCATCTTGAGCGAGGAGCCCTTTAGGGCAAAGGCCGACTCGAGGTTGAGCTTGGACATGGCGGGCAGGGTTCTGGTGAGCGAGGAGCGGAGGCTGGCTAGCATGCACCGGTGCGGCGAAGCGATGGGAGGATCAGGGCGCGGTGGCGACGGCAACAAAGACAGCGGCAGAGATTAGAGGTGATGGTGGTAGTGGTGGCGGTAGTGGTGGCGATGACGGCGATGGTGTTGACGATGGCCATGGGAGGTTCCAGCCAGCAGGCCAGGCGGGGCGCAGAAGCAAGGCCGCCGCCGCCGGCGTCGTGGTCAGCTCGACAGGTCCGTTATGCGAGGAGGCCTGCGCTTGGGGATCGGCGTGGCCAGCCAGCCAGGCTGAGCAGGCCAGGGCGCTCGAACGACAGAACAGGCCCACGGGCCAAGCAGAAAGGCAGGCCAGGCCAGGCGAGGCATTGTGGAGGCGGCGGCTTCTCGCGAACCAGGCGCCTGGCAAGGAAGGCCTGCCTGCCTGCCCTGCCTGCCTCTCTTCTCTCGCCAACCCAGGCCCAGGCTAGGCCAGCCGGGGGCAGGCTAGGGTCCAACGAGGTCGAGGTCGAGGCGTCGGCAACGCGGCGGGCGTGGGCCCGAGCACGCACAGCCCAGCCCCAACCTCGCCCTTTGGCTGGCCCGCCTTCTTGCCGCTTCGCCCTCCGGCTTCCGAACCGTCGGGTTGCGCTGGCTCCGGCCCATGCGACCCGGTCGTCTGCTGGTCGACGGTGGGGCCCGCTTTGACCCCCTGAGTCGCCACCGAGCCACCAGCAAAGACTCTCACCCTGCTCACCATCGCCCAGCGCCCGCCAGTCGCTGCCCTATAGACAACCCGCACGCCGTGGCTGCTCCAGCAATCGCCCTCTCGACCCCGATAGACCGACCCGACGCCCTCCTTCGCCAACGGCACCTGTGCGCCCGCCTCACCGAGATCAACGTGCCTCGCTTCCTGAGCATTTGACGTCCCGCTCTCTCGTCGGACAGCTCGCTTTAGGGGCGATAGCTTTACGTCGCGGTCTCGGCTCATCAGCGCCAATCGCCACGCTCCCCGCACCACACCGTCCCGATGGCCACGCCACCCGACTGGGACCGCAATGCGACGTGGGGCGGCTCGAATGGCGGCGCCGGAGGATCGAGAACACCGCTGAGACAGGCATTCTCGTCGCTATCGAAATCGTCGGGCAAGAAGACCGCTCAGAGCCTCTCGGCATCCGGCTCGACGACGCCGGCGCACCCGGCTTCCCGCAGCCAGAGCCCGGCGCCAGAACAAGGCGATGGCAAGCCGACCGTTGCAAGCGACGCTGGGCTGGCCGATGATCTGGACAACAAGGCGAAGCTCTCTCTCTCGAGGCAGAGCAGCGTCTCGAACAAGTCGGGTGCCGGCAGCGCAGCGGGCCGAGACGCCGGTGCCGCCACCGCTCCAAAAGGCGATGGCGAGGAGGACACGCCGCTGCAGCGTGCGCTCAAGAACCCGTACCACGTGAGCCATGTCGATGAGCTTCAAGCGGCCTGCGGTCCTCGTAGCTGACAGAGGAGACGCTCCTTTTCCTTGCGCTCGACCTGCGCTGCAGAGACCGCTGCCTGGCCACCCCGGCAATCTGACGACCAGCCAGGCAGAAGCTTTGCTGGAGCTGACCCAGCTGCTGCTCAAGGACGGAGCCCTCCACGACCCCGAGAAGGAACCGCCTTCTTACCAGGAGACGCAGCTGCTGTGAGCCAGGCTGGCTGTCCGGCACGGTCGCCCTCGAATGCGGATCGCCGGGGAACGGTTCGGCTGACCTCCGGGTGCACTTTGTCCCCCTTCCGAGATGTCCAGACGCTTCCTGCGAGCCCGCAGCTTCAACGTCGAAGCGGCGAGGACCATGTACCTCAAATCCGAGGCGTGGAAGAAGGAGTTTGAGCTCGACCGTCTCTGCGAGGAGTTCATCTTCGAGGAAGAAGAGGCGGTCGCAGCCTGCGGCTGGAGGATGTGTGAGTTACGCGCTCGTCTTGCCAGGGCGCCAGGTAAAAGAGGGCCGACGCTGACGAGCCGATGCGCGATGCGGGAACTGGGCCGCTGCAGACTTCCACAAGGTCGACAAGGTGAGCGCCCTCTGCCGACTGCTGCGATGCGAGCTGCCGTGCCAGTCGACGCTGCTCGCTCCCCTTCTCCAGAGGCTGGTGACAGCTCGAGACTGACGCTGCCATGCATCGGTGTTGTCTGCCTCGCCGTGCGATTGCAGCTTGGCCGCCCGATCTTTATCCAGGACCTCTCGAACCTGGACACGACCAAGCTGCTTCAGACGACGACGCCGGAGCGGATCATCAAGAAGTTTGCCGTGACCCTCGAGCTGGCGGTGCGCCACCGGTACGAGGCGTGCACGCTCTCGAGCGGGCGGTGGGTCGACGACAACATGATGGTGGTCAACGTCGAGGGCTTGGGCCTGTCGACGTTCTGGACGATGAAGGACCAGCTGCAGCAGCTGCTCGGCGTCCTCGACCAGAACTTTCCCGAGCTCTCTGGCCGCGTCCAGATCATCGGCGCGCCCTTCATGTTCAGCGCCATCTGGTCGCTGCTCAAGGGCTGGCTGCCGGCCGCGACGGTGGAAAAGGTCGACATCGCAGGTTCGGGCTACCTGCCACTGATCCTCAAATACGTGCGCAAGGAGGACTGGCCCAAGCACCTGGGAGGCGAGTGCTGCTGCTCCGGTGCGACGGCGACGGGCAGCGACGGCGCCACGCCGGCAAAGGGCAAGTCGGACGGGTGCCTGCACAGCGACGAAGGGCCGTGGGACAAGGACCTCGTCGTCGGCGCCTCGCCGAGACCGTCGTAGCGGCTCCGCGTGCGCAGCAAACGAGCCTGTACATACACACGTTCTCGGAGCGGCACCGCGACGAGGTGACAGACGACATCCGATGTGGCCTCGATGTGATCCGAGCCCGAGGCATGCCTGACGATGATGACAAAGGAGACGATACGACGAGGATGGGCTGGTTGTGGCTGGCGTGGGCTGGACCCCGTGCGCACGCGTGGGCAGGGCAGGCTGACGTGCCGGGTAAACCCGCGGCAAATAGCAGAGTTCAAGCCAGGCAGGGCGCCGAAAGGGGGGTCAGGCCAGGCGGAGTCGAGTCGCTCAGAGGCACAGAGGCACAGAGAGGCAGCGAGGCAGCGAGGCGGCGAGCGAGGCCGAGAGTCGGTTGGCTTGCCGTGCTGGCCGGCCACCGCCATCAACCTCACCTCACCACCAACCTCGTCGGCACCACCGGGCCCCCATCTCTCCGACCATCGCCCTTGCCCGCGCGCGCTGTGGCACCATCAGCATCGCTTGGTCACGGCGTGTCTCTCTGCTGGCTTGCCGACGCTGCTGTCGCCGCCAACACCTGCCACCGCTTCCTGCTACCGCGGCCGGAGCCATCTCGACGATACCCACCTGGCCCCGTGCGTACACCACCTCATATCGAGCATCACATCAGCTTTGCACCCACTACCCGCTGCTTTTTCCGCACGAGCCTCGGCCGCACAGCTTCGCCTTTGTCGAATCCCTGCCGCACAAATCTTGCTCGGGTCGACCTCTGCCCATCCCTGCTCCCGTACCACCATCGCTCGGCTCGCCTGCCACCCTGTCAGAGCTCTATCCGCTCGTCCAGTGGCATCACTACTAAGCTGCTGTCAAGGCGACTCTCGAGATCACCAAGTCGACGCTCGCTCGCCAAGCGCTCCCACCATAGCCAGAGACGTAAGACGACTCATCGGCTTCATGGCATAGACAGGCACCCTCGCCAGATGCAACCTCCGCCTATGGCGCGGGGCAGTCATCGCTCCACCATCCCTCCCCAGGCCCAGACCTTTGCGGGCCCATCACCGACACCGCCGACGCAGGACACTTCAATCACGGCTGCCATGATGCTTGGCGGCGGGGCAGGCTCCTCCTCCTCCAGCATGACGTCCCTGCAAGGCGTCGGCTCGGTCAACCTTCTCGGCAATGGTCTGGTGCAGCAGCAGCCCTCGCAGGGACAGCACCTGAATCATGCTCAACAGCAGCAGCAGCAGCAGCAGCAGCGCCCGCATCATCAGCAACAGCAGCAGCAGCACTCCATCACACAGCTGCCGATGTCGGGCCAGCAACTGTCTCTTCAACAGCAGCAGCAGCGGCAATCGCTTCACCCACGTCAGCACCCGCAGCAACAGCGACAGCCGCCGCAGCAGCCGCAGCAGCAGCCGCTTCCGCAAGCAAACCTCCAGAGGGCCCAGCACCAACAGCCGTCGGGGCACCAGCAGCACCAGCAACAGCAACAGCAGCAGCAGCAGCAGCTGGCGAACCAGGCTATCGGTGCGCCGCAGCTCAACAGCACCATGGCTCAGCTGCTGGCAAACCCGGGACTCATCATTCCCACGGCGCCGCCGCCATCTCATCACCAACATGCCGCTATCCTCGCCGAAGCCAGGTCGAGCATCTCGGACTTTGCGGCAGCCATGCAAGATGCCAAGCAGAGCTGCCCCGGCGACCGACCCGACGTACGCGCCCTGGTCTCGACGCTCGAGAGGGCGTCGAGATCCTTGACCTCGGAGCTCGGCCGAAGCATCTCGAAGCTCAAGGCGCTGAACGACGTACCCATTGCCGCTACGCCTCCGCCCTCCACCGCCTTCGGGCCTCCAGGACAACAGACGCCCTTTCCGACGATCAGCCAACCGGGGAACGACCTGCTCCAGGCGTTGGCTTCCTTTGGGATGCCTGGCTTGATGGGCGGCGCAGCGCCGCAGCAGCAGCCGCAGCAGGATCCACAGCAAGCTGCTGGCTCCGGGCAGACCCCGTTCGACCTCGGCTTCCTCTCTCAGCAGGGTGCCACCGCTGCCGTCGGTGGCGGGCCGACGGGCACCGTTCAAGGACCGGCGAATCCCCTCGGGCTTCCCCTGGCCTTTGGCGGAGCCTCGAGCATGCCCTTCGGCAGCGATGCCCCGGCTTCCGGGTCCACGCTGCAGCAGGGAGCCCCGGGCTCCAACGCCTTCGGCAACATTGCTGGCGGTCTGCAGTCGCCCTTTCTGCCGGCCCTCGCTCAGTACCTGTCGCAGGACAGCACTAGACTGGCGGGCATGGGTATGCAGAGCGGCGTTGGCATGCCAGGCCTGCCGGCTGGCCAGGGCCAGACGTCGTTGGACATGTGGCTGCTCTCCCAGCGTCAACAGCAGCAGCCTGGCGCCGGCGGCGTCCACATCGGCGCCCAGCCGGGCCCCGGCGGCATCGCGTCCACCGCCGCCCCTGCCATTGCCAACGTCGGCGGCAGTGGCTCCCAGCAGGCACCTCAGCATGGCGCTGCCAACTACTTTGGCATCCCAGCGAGCATGCTCGAGGCTTTCGGGCTGGGCTCGCTGCTTGGCGGAGGCGCGACCAAGAGCGCGTCACCGTCGTCATCTCAGCCGCCTCAGCCGCAGGTCGGACCGGTGCTCGGCGCCGGGCACACCAGTGATGGCGGAAGCAGCAGTAGCGGCGGTGGCACCGGACGGCAGGCGGCCGAGCCGATCGACCGGGCCAGGAGTCAGCAGCAGAAAGGTGCTGTCGGCCTGCCGGCCGCAGAACGCGAGTCATTGTCAGACGAGCAAGAGGCCGCGGTGGCGGCATCGGCGCCCGAGCCGAAGCGCAAGAAGCGGAAGCAGATCCGTGGCAAGGCGGAAGAATCCAAGGGCGGTCAACCAGCGCCGGCTCCCACAGAGCCACTGTCGATCGCGATGCCTTCCCGTCCGACCCTGCCGACCTCGGTGCCGGGGCCTGCGACGCCGCCAGTGGCCGTGGCGCCGGGTGCGGCCGGTCTGTCTACGCCGCAGCCAGCGGGGGAGAAGCGGGTCTCGACACTGGGCGTCGGCCTGCGGCAGGAAGGCGAGAAGCGGTACCGCAATCGCAAGCTCCTCCGCGACCTGCGCGAGCATCTCTACCGGTGGCTAGGCACCAACGAGTTCCGCAAGCTCAAGGACACCTACAAGGTGGCCGAGTGGGTGCCGAACCCCAACCTGACCGACGAGGAGCGAGCGCAGGCGGCGCTGCAGGCGGCCGGCAGCTCGAGCGCGCCGCCCATCACGACGCACATCTTCCACGTCGACTTCACCTCGCGCGACTTCTACCGGACCAATGTGTCGCTGATCGAGGCCATCGTCAACGAGGCTTCCCGCAAGGTCGAGGCGCGGCCCGAGGCGTACGGCATCGTGCCGGGCACCATCGACATTGACCACCTCGAGGACGTGGCCAAGGACCTGATGGACAGCGCTCGCAGCGGCTTCCGCATGAGCCTGCGGACGGGCGTGCAGGCGGAAAAGGAGGACAAGGAGAAGCACGAAAAGTACCGCGGCGTGGAGCGGGCCAAGACCAAGTGCCGCAACCGCGAGATTGGCGCCGCCCGCCTGCGCCACAAGATCCCCAAGCAGCTGCTGGTGCCCGGCGCCTACTCGGACGACGCCGCGAGCGACGAGGACCTCCACGGCCTCACCAAGACCGAGTGGAAGCGGCAGCGGCTACGCAAGCTGCGGATCGCCAAGGGGTGGGAGGCCGTCACGCCCAAGTGGCGCAACCGCCACCTCACACGCGCCTTCCACAAGGCCGACATCGTGTCCAAGTCCAAGCAGATGGCGCGCTGGCGGCGGGACGATCCCGTCGACCTGCCCTTCCCGACCCGGCTCTACGGCAAGACGCTGCCCGCCTCGCTGTTTGACCCCGAGTGGCTCGCTGAGCATCGTAAGGAGCTCGAGGGGGAGCCCTACTGCGTCAGGATCGACGAACGGCCGGTCGATGGCTGGAACGAGGCCGACCACCCGCTGGGAGAGGACACGTCGGATGAAATGGAGTGGAGCGACGCCATGGACTCGAGCGTGCGCGGACGCTACTTTGCCACGCACACCGCCAGCGCCAGCGTCCAGATGACGCCCCTCGACGCTTCTCGGGGACGGGGCGAAGGGCCGGCGCCCCCGCCCTCGCCGCCGATACCGTCGACTGCGACTCGCGCCGCCACGTCGCCGTTGGAGGCCGGCGCAGCCTCGTCGGGCCACAAGGACGATGCCGACGTTGTCCCGTCGACGGCGACCGAGGACATTGCCGCGCAGCAGGGCGACGAGGCCAAGCCTGCGACTGGTCACTCACGCTCGCTGCCGGCCTCTGTGCACCAGACGCCCGCGCCGACGCAGCCCGGCGAGGGCGAGGCGATCGCGTCGACGAGCTTCGATCATGCAGACCGGCCCAGCAAGCGGAAGAGGGAGGGCGAAGATGAGGATGAGCTGGCGGAGGCGGAAGGCGGGGAGGACGCGCCGGCGCGGGAGCCAGAGGGCAGGGTAGACGACCCGACGGCGCGGAGCAGTCGCAGCAGCAGCGCCGACAGCTGCCAGACGGGCCACACGACGGCAGCGGAGGAGGCGTCGAGCGAGACCGAATGCGAGATGGCGCCCAGCGCATCGGGCGGTCCCGTCGCCGTGACGGCGGCCAAGGAGGATCTGGAAACCGCTGCGCAAGGGCAGGGGCAGGACAATGCCAAGGTCGGGGACACGGCCGCCGCCGATGACAGCGCCCTCCCGGCGGCTGCCGCTTTGACGTCGTAGACCGGGTCGCCTCCGCCTAAACGTCTCGTCGGCCTCGCGAGATGGTGCTTTAGCCGTCCGCCAGCTTTGATCGAGATTCGCACGCACTGTGCTGTAGATATCGTATCGCACCGTACCCGCGCCGTTCCATTGAGTGATGAGCATGGTCGACGACAATCACTCGGTGGTCCCGAGGCATCGCCTCCGGCCGTTGGCAGTATTTTCGTCGCGATTTCTGTCCGCCTTTTTCAGGGCTCGTTCGCCGCCGGGTTGCGCCGAGCGAAGGAGAGGCCGGCCAGGCAGGCTGGCTGCGGGTGAACCTAGTAGATGGCGTGGCGGGGTGGTTTGCCCGGCCGCTTTCGGTAGGGGACCCCGAGGCGAAGTAAGGTCCTTCGTTCATGCTCGCTGACAACCCTCACCTCAGCTCACCTTGCCTCACCTCATCGGGGGCGCGCGCCACTCTCGTGACTTGATACGAGGCATGAATGACAGGGAACGTCGACGAGCGAGCCGCACCCGCTCCCCAGCCACCGGCTTCGGCTGCGGTTCAACCTTTGACGGGGCGGCCCTGCTGGCCTCTGTCCATACCGGCGATTGCAAGCTGCAACCGGTCCCAAGCCTACTGTAGGCTGACTCTAAGAGCTAGGCAGGCCTCCTTTCGGGCCTCGGTTGCTGGCATTCAAAGTCATCGACTCACTTAAGATGGCACAACACCGTGCGGTCGGTGCTTCCGCACAAGGAGCCGTTGGCGAGGGAACGGCCGCCGTGGATGCCAGGTCTGGCCCAGCCGCTGGACCTGGTCGTACCGTAGGGCCGTGAGAGCCTGACCTGGTCCTGCCTGCCTGACAAACGGCGGACGTGACACACGACGCTACCGGGGAGCGAGACGAGGTCTGCCAGGCCTGGCCTGGCCACCGGAACGCTGGGTTGGCCACCCGCCTTCCGCTCCGACCTTCGCCGGCAGCCGCGAGGCCAGGCCCATTCGAGGCGGGGTTCGGACTGGTTCCCGTTGCATCAGCTGTGGCGGGCGGCTTCCCGTGCGAGATGGACCGACCGCGGATCCGTCCTGACCCCGACCAGGCAGAGACCGGGGCATGCGTCGGCGCTATCTGCTCCGCCTTCTCCAGCTCATACGGCACATCGACGACCGCCGTACCCCACTTTTCTAAGACTTGCGCCTGGCTCGTTGATACCAGTACGCGCCAGGCCGGGCGAGGCCAGGTAGGGGGGTATGGACCACACCGCTCCGCGCTCGCGTGGGCGTTACGCCGCCGGGTGCGTCTCCATGAACCGCCTGCCTGCTTTAGAGCTCGGCCAGGTGTCGTCCGTCCTTGCATCCGTGAAAAGGGGGCAGGCGGACTCGGAGCAAGCCGACCTAGCTTCTAGCCTGCTACGTACGTACCTACCTAGTTTAGAGCTCATCAGTCGTGGGGGGCGTGGTCGTCCGTTGACCGGCCTAGATAGCCCCTCTTTGGCTGCGCAAGGTGCATCATGTACGCGCGCACGCACGCCGACCGCTACGAGCGTCGCTTACCGCTTCTTCTTCCCGTACACGGCGGTACGCACGCACGTACAGACAACAAGCAAGCGACGGCCAACACGAGCGTAGTCTGCCTGTGTGCACGGGCGCGCATCATGGTCCGCCTCGTTCCGACTCGACGGTACCGGATGCACCGTACACACGTACGGTCATCGGAACCGCGCGCGCTGAGCGACGTTCTATTTCTCATCTCGCCGCAGGTCGGCTGAGCCACAGCATGCTGTATGTACAGTGCATGCTGCGGTCGCTTCGGCCGTCGTACAACTGAGTCGTTACATACAGCCGCCTACACGAGTCGCCGCGGTGCATACGCTGGCTTGGCGGCGGCACCTCCCAACGCCTCTGTCGTGTTTGCGAGGCTCGGCGTCCTCCGCTGCACAACCTCGTATGGGTGCGGGGACAGCATGGCGCGGCCTAGCTTGTTTGGTCGATGCGTGCGGCCCCCGCTCGGCCCATGACGTCCATCAAGACTGCCGTATCTACAGGGTAAGTTCTCTGTAGGTAGCTCAGCGTCGCTGTGCGCACATAGGTGACCTGAGACGGTGCGGTCATAGAGGGATACGTAGATCGCGGAAGGCCAGGCCAGGCCAGGTGGGCTCGGTAATCTCGAGTTTCGTCTCGCGTCGAGGGCAACGGCCCCGGACCCAGAACGTCGGACTGGAAGGCAGCGATGCTGCGCTCCAAGTCGAGATGGGGCTCCATCAACGACGTTGCGCAGTCTTAACGTACTGACTCTTGCTCGATGCGCAGCGGCGCGGGGCCAGGATAGAATAGGTACATACTGCGGGGGCGGTCCTGGACCCAGCGATGGCCGGGGAAAGCCCAGGCAGTCTGAGCGACCTGGGCATCATGACGACTTCGAGGCGAGTTGCACAGGCACTCTACTCGTACTGTGCTGTAGGTACCTAGTTACAGCGTGTCGTCAAGTCGCCGCAAGCTGGCCACGACCATCTCGCGGCGACTTGGACGCATGGCCCCGCGGCTGGCCATGTGACAATCTTCTCATGGATCTCACCATACCGGCAGCGTACTGTACTGTACGGCACGGTACGGTACCTCCCATGGTGACGTGCCCATCGTCGTGGCCTTCGATTCCGTCCGTCGATGGCCGTAGGAGGTCTCAAGTCTGGCCGTATCTAAGCTCGATGGAAGACGCAACACCATATGATGGCATCCCGACGTCACTCTTCCAGGCTAGCGTGGCGAGTGCGCGATTCTTTTTTCTTCTTGTTCCGCGGTACGTACATACGGCAGGCGGAAGCTTGGTTGCCTGGCCCTCTACCTGGCCCGTACGTGCAGCTGCGGGAGCAAAGGACGGTCCATACGGCACGATATCCTCACCACGGGCTCATACTTCCGGCCAGCGTGCGAGATTGTGGCATGCCTGCATACGGGTACCCAAAACCATAGCAAGCCTCGTATCGGATGTGGTCCCCACGGGCCGGCTGTGAGCGCCGATCGGACGCAGCTGCGGCTTCGGGTGGTGTGCAGCAGAGATTTCGATGGACGTTCGAGCTGTGTTTGATGCTGGCCCGTACGAGACGGTGCCTTGATCCTGCGCAGGACGGCGTGGCTGGCTGGACCCCCTTCGATCTCTCTTCAAAGTCCGACTTGGCGAAGACGGGTGCCTGGCGGCGTGGCGGGTCGAGAGAGATTTGCGCGCATCACCTTCGAGCTCGCATCTCGCTCGGTGTTTGCAAGCCAGGCCGCACACGACCACGCCAAGCCAGCGGGCCATGGCCTTGGCTCTCGGAGCCGCTGGCGGGCCGACGACCTGGGATGGCAGACTCGCGTGACGAGGCATGGTTGGCGTGGCAGGCTTGGCCTGGTCAGGAAGCGACCGAGAGGGCCTTCGATGCGGCGTGCTTGCTTGCTTGCCCAGGCTAGGCGGGTCACCACGGCCGACGCAGGGTGATGTGAGTCAAGAAGAGCCAAACGCCTGCGGGCCCGCAGTAGCGACCCGCGCAGCTGCCTGCCTACGAAACTTTACAAACGAACGCCACGCATCGACCTGCGTTGGTTGCTGCGCGTCGCTTCGGCTCTTTTGCCATAATGCCGAAGCGCGGCCGGTTCCTCTGCGCCAGCGCCAGCGCCTACAAATGGGCCAGGCGCCAAAGTCATTGCCGGCAGCGCAGCCTGGCCCAGCTGTGTGACGTTCTGGAGCCCAGCAGCCTCGGCACAACTGTACGTTTGTCGGCAATGACGGGCGCCGCTCCGCCGCAACTCTCCCAGCCTCTCACCGTGACGCCAGCAGGCCCCCAACGGCGGCGGCGGCCTACCGTGGTCGCCTCGCCTCGCTCCGTCGCTCGACTCCGTTACCTTGGGTCGCCCACCCGTCCGCCCGCACTCGCCTCGCCAGATTTCTGAAAATCCCCGAGACGCTGCAAACAAGCCGGCCGCCCAAATCGATTCCAGAGCGCCCGGCCTGCCGTGCGCCTCCTTGGATCCGACCAGCCCGCCCGGCATGTCGCTCGTCCAGGCATCCCCAAGCATCCCTCCGCCCGCCTGGCCTGGCCTGACCTGGCCTCCCCACCAAGACCACCGTGGAGCCAAGCCGCCTGCGGCGCGGGCTAGACGACGGTCCTGGAAGATGCCTACATACGAGATCCGCCGAAACGGGCATCTCGAGCTGGCTGCACAGATACAGTACCCTCCTGTGCCTGACCCACCGTCTGGCTCACACCGGCGCGAGTCTAGGCAGGTAGGTACGGCATCTCGTTCCTGTCGGAGAGCCTGTCTTGAACGCACGCGCTGTCGACGGGATCTTGCACCTTGACCGGGAGTGGATGCCGGTGCGCCAATCACGCACGGTGCTTTCGTTGGTCGCCACTCGCCACGCCAGCAACGTCGATCTATTGACTCTGCCCGCACTGCCCTGCTGGGAAGGCAATCGCCCGTCGAACAGCTTGAGCCGGGCTGCCTCCGATGTCATCAGCGCCACTTCAAGCCTCGTACCTGTGACACAGATCTCAAGGGGGCCACGCTATAATCTCGCAACACAGCCAAGCGCTTCTGGTCGCTCTCGCCGACTGGAACGACGTGGCACGAATACGCGCCCCTAGGAGACCGTACCGTACCGTATCACGTCCAGGATCCGGCAATAGGGGACCGGTGGCAAGCGGAAGCCAGCCTGGTGGAGCTCCGAAGACGGCCGCGCTCAAGCTGTGGCTCGTGGAAGCAAGCGCGCGTGGCTCTGTTCTGCCGTCGCCCGTACATTCGTCCGTTGCAAACCTGCGGTCTCATCCGCGCAGCAGAGGTGCATGCTGCGCACAGTGCAGCGCGAAACCACACCGTACGGCTGGGCTCTGTACGGCGTCGCCCGAGCCTGGATCTCCGGACTGAGCTGCCACCTGGTCAAGCTCCAAGCAAGCCCGTCTCACAGCCCCTCCTAGTCACCGCCTTGCGCCCGGCGCGTCCCCGCGGAAGCCGTTGCAGGCACTGTATGTACATACCCAAGCCGTTGTCGTCGTTGGCGGCGACCCGTTCCGGCCCTCGCCGTGCCGCGCTGCGCTGCGACAGGCCCCTCATTCGAGCGGCTATTTGGGCGGCCGAAGCACACACCCTACAACCAACGCCCTCAAAGGGCGCAGACAGGGGGCAAACGACGACGGCGAGCCTTATTGCTCGTTTAAGGTAGAGAGGGATACTGCCGTGCCTCGGCCCCGCGGTCGTCAATGTACGTACGCCGGCAGCGCACCAAGCCTAAGCGGCCTACATTGGCGGTACGTCCTAGCGTCGCGCCGGCTTTCTCCCCTAGCGGTCCCCGACGGCGGCGACGACCACCTGGCGAGAGTGTGGCGAGCCGGCCGCGCGTGAACGCCCCCCAATCGTCTCTTCTGCCGCCTAGCCGCCTTGCCGCCTCGCCACAAGGCTGCCAGCAGCACGAGGCTTCGGTCACTCGACCGCCTGGCTCCGATATCTGGCGCCAAGAGCTGACCACCCTACTGTATCTGTACTTCGCAACCGACGGGGTGAGAGAGTGAGTGGTCGCCGGCTCCTGGAGACGTAGCGGGTGCTTGCTGAGAGCAGCTGCCAAGGTCTCAGATCCAGAGCTCGAGGTCCGCTCACCTCGGGACGGTCAAAGAGATCCGTTGGAGTCGCTGCGCACCCCCAACGAGGGCTGGCCCGTGAGCGAGCCGCACGATCTGCTCTACCACCGGCTCTTTGGCAGTCGCGGCCCAGGCGTGGTGCCCACAACTTGACACGCACGTCGGCCCTCAGCCAATGACATCCATCGCCAGCGGCCGCTGCCCCATCGGCGGATTGAGCCATGTCTGGTAGGATACGATGCGGTACGAAACGGCGCGCGTCGATTGGGAGCCGCGGGGGGTTACGTAGGAGGGCTCCTCTCTTTGCCCCGACACCATTGACGAGATTCCACGCCATGGCCATTGTCGCTCGTTATCGCAGACGGCCACGCAGAGCCTGCCTTTGATGTAGTTACCTGTGTACGTGACCCTGCCAACGGCAGCTTCAGCAACAAAACAGGGCTGCGATATGGGCATCCGATGCCGGTACCGGTGCGATCTCGGCTTTGATGCTGGCTCTCGGGAGTGAGATGGATACCGGTATGTTGAGCGCGACGACAGAGAGCGATGGGCGTGCGTGCGCTGGCGGCACAGTGCCCTGACCAGCTGCTGGCTGGCCATTCCTCGGTCCGCTCCGGTGCCCTCTTGCCTTCCCATCAATAGGTCATGCGTTGGCTTTTGTCGACGGCAGCGGGCGACGAGACGAGCTGAGAATGGGACCGGAGGACAATTAGCACACGCCCATGATGGTGACGACTCCTGGAATGGTCATCCCGGTCCCGTCAGGCCAGGCCAGGCCAGGGTCGAGCGATCCGCTCCCGTCCTTTGTTGTCGCCCTGCCTCCTGGCCGCGAGCCGGTTGGGGGCCACCCTCCCTCTGCCAGATCATTGCGATGACCGTCCCGACCGAAGTTAACCACCACCACCGCCCGCCCCGTCACCAGGCGCTGTTGCTCGGCAACAACCGCGCAGCTGACCTCGGGCTCGGAGCGTCGGTCGCCAACCCAGAGAGGAGGCAGCGGCGGCGGCGGCGTCGTCGGCTCGCTCGCCAAGAAGGGCGCCGGATGGCCCGCCGCCCAACAACGCCCGGCCGCTCCATCTCCTCGACCCAAACTGGCGGGCAGGCAGGCAGGCAGGCAGGCAGGCAGGCAGGCAGGCAGGCAGGCAGGCAGGCAGGCAGGCAGGTAGGCATGCCAGCCTGCCGGCCAGGGGGCAGCGAGCGAGGGCATGCCAAGCAGCCGCCACGTAGGTAAACGTACGGCGGCCAAGGTTCTCCCAGGCGAACCGACGGCGGCCAACTGGCACCTCGAATACAAACCAAGCCAGGGAACCGCTACAAACCTCGCCCGGCCCCTGCTGCGGGAAGTGACCGAGGGCTACAAATCATGTTCCGGCTGATTTCCATTGCAGCGACACGGGCGCCGGTACGTACCAGGCGAGAGGCTGGGGCCCAGCCGGTGACGGAGCGGACCATGCTCGGGCCAGGCTAGGGGACGAGGCAGGCTCAGACAGTGGGAGCTTGGCCTAGCCTGCTGGCCTGCGCGATCACCACCGACCGGAGCCTTCGCCGTCGCCGTCGTACCATCGTATCATTGTCCAAAGCCCCGGCCCGCCGAGCGAGCTCCAGGCTCCCGTAGCCAGAGCTAGGCGGTCCTGTACATGCCGCACCTCTGCCTGGCTCGTCGACACCGCGACGACGACGATGGCGATTGATTGATTGGCTCAACCCGACGTCGAGCGAAGGAGCGAGCGACGGAGGCGGAGCGTCAGCCCCGTCACCTCTCCTCTTGGGCGACGGCCACGGCGGCGGGCCATCCCCATGCGCTAATTCTTCTGCCGTGCGGAGGGTTGCGCTCTGGCTGCCGCGCTGCAACGGGGGGGTCCGCGCCGGTTGATTTTCTAAAATCGAGACGGAAGGAATGAATCAATTTGAGCTTAGGAGCCGGCAGCTGACTGGCCCGGTGCCGCGGCCTGCCTCCAGGGAGGCACACGGCCAGAGTGTCTTGGAGCCAAACGCACCAGCGGCCAGCAGCAGCGGCGACGACGGGCGGGCCCAGGCAGGCTACGCTGGAAGCTAGGCTAGGCCGCCAGAGCGCAGCGCTGCAGCGCCTGGGCCTGGCCTGGCACCGTACGCGTGCCAACGGAGGCCAGCCGTCCCCTCGCTCGCTTCCATCGACCCGGGGCCCGACGCCCCGTCGCCTGGTTCGGGCGCGCGCTGCAGCTGCGGGTGACCCACCCAACCCACCCATGCATCCACCTTTTTGGAAGAAAGCAGCAGACAGGCAGGCAGGCAGGCAGGCAAGCGAGGAGCGGGCTGGCTGGCAGGGAGGCAGGCCGGACGAGTGTACCGACCCCCCCTCTGCCAGCTGGCCATCCCTGCCTGCCTTGGCCCCCCTGGTGCCTGCCGGTCAGACTGCCTGGCCGCCCTTGGCCTAGCCTGGTGGGTGGGTGGGTCGCTCGCCTGACTGCCTGAATGCTGAGCTCTGGTGCCCTGCCTGCCCGCCAGACTGCCTGCCCTTCCCAGCCCTGCCTGACCGTCGATGCCATGCCATGCCTCAGCCGCAGGGGAGGTGGGCCCGCCTGCCCGCCTGCTGCTCTGCTGTGCCGCACGGCGTGCGTTGCTGTCCGCCCCCCGCCCCTCGCGGGCAGGGCAGCGCAACCAGCGCACCGTCACTCGCCGCCGTCGCCGCCGCCGCCGCCGCGGTCAGGACGCCCGACTTCCAGCCAACCAAAACCCAAGCACGGCGCTGTCGCCAGACCCGGCCCACCATCTTCCTGCTCCCTTCCTCCCCTTGCCTCCCGCCGCCACCCGACGTTATACAAAAAGCTCGCAGGCCGTGAGCACGTCCCCGTCTGCCGCTGTCCCTTTCCCCTCGTCACCCATCGCAAGATCACAATCCACGCCCTCCGTCCCTATCTCGGCCTCGCGCGCTCCCTGCTGGCTTGCCCAACCGTTGTCAACCCATCGACATCGTCACCTGCCCGCTCCCTCCCCTATAAACACATCGCACGGTCGTCACCCGCTGCCTGCAGCCGACCGCACCCCACGAAGTCTCCTGCCTGCCTGCCTGCAACCAGCGTCACAGCTCGTTATCAACATCCACCACGCCACGCCTACGGCAGCAATAGTCGCAGTCGCCACCGACTCTATACCGCCGTCCGACCCTCCGATCGTGGATAGAGACTGCCACCACTTGGGACGAACCTCACCCCTCCCGAATACAGCCGGCCGCCCACCCTGAACCTTCCATATGGACTTCTTGAAGATGCCAGCTCCCATCCCGATCAATCGCAATACGTCCCAGCTGGACTCGTTCGGGTCCCAGCGCCCCGGCGGCCTCACCCCCAAGCAGGCTAGCTTCCTCGGCGGCGCGAGCTACAAGGAGCCGATGGCTCTTTCGTTTGGCAAGGATGTCTCGGAGTGAGTATTGCACCGACCTGGTCACGGCACGACGGCGCGCTCTTGGATGGGGAGGGGAGAAAGGAGAGGCGCTGACCCGATCGTCTTCGATCTGCCCACCAACGAACCTCTTTCTCCGCGTCTAGGATCATGGACTACTCCATCTCTCGCTTCTCGACCTCGACCGAGTCCGACATCACGGTGGCGCCATCGTCGACCCGCCTCGAGTCGACCTTCTGCCGCAACTTTACCTGCTGTGGCCAGAAGCTCGACGACCTCCACGACCTGCTGCAGCACTATGAAGAGTGCCACGTCAAGTTCGAGGACGACGAGATGCCCGCCATGATCACCGACGACGACGTCGACTCGTCGGCCTCTTCGTCCGAGACGGCCTCGCAGCCCCCCAGCCCGCGCACCACGACCGCCTCGACTTCGGGCGCGGCCGCGTCGACGTCGACCCACCCCACCACCGCCGTCAACGCCGGCGCCGGATCCTCGTCGCAGACCAAGGCCAAGCCCCCCATGCAGAGCACCGACTCGTTCGAGACCACGTCGGCCTTTGACACGGCGGTCATGAGGTCGCCATCGCTGTCCAAGGGCAAGAAGCGCTCGTTTGGCCAGTACGCCAACAACGCCGGCGGATCCAGCAGCGCCATCCACCAGTCGCTTCGACGCGCCCTCATCGACGGTGGCGTCGGCCGCCGCACGCCCGGTCAGCCCCAGATCTACGCCCCCAACTCGCCCTTCTCCACGCCCGGCAGCTCGATCCCCGGCACCCCCTCGTGTGACTCCGAGAACGGCGACTTTTTCGGCAATGGCGTCAACCCGTCGGCCTTTTCGGCGCTCTCGATCCGTGGCAACGCGTCCGACGAGCACCACCTGCCGTCCTGCGCGCCGCCCAACCTCTTCTTCCCGGCTTCGGGTACGTCGACGGCCGCCGGACAGCCTCCGGCCAAGCGCGAGCGGACCAGCTCGGCCAACACGTCGTCGGCCGCCATCAACATCGAGAACGCACTCAAGGCCAACTCGTCGAGCGTCGACAAGCCATACAAGTGCCCGGCGCCCGGCTGTGACAAGGCGTACAAGCAGATGAACGGACTCAAGTACCACCGCCTCCACGGCCACTGCAACCAGAACAACCTGCCGATCCAGACGCAGGCCGCCCAGGCTGCGGGTCAGCTGCCTCCCGCGGTTGCCGTCAGCGCGGGCCTGGGCGCTAACGGAAGCCAGCCTGCGACTCCCGCCCCGTCTGCGGCTGCTTCGCCGGTCAACTCCAAGGCCGCCGCGTCGCCCCTCAACCCTGCGGCCGGCAGCTCGGCATCGCCGCCTTCTGGCGCCAACTCGACCATCGACGACGCCGGATCCCTGGCCAACATTACCACGCCGCCCAGCACGCCGCCCTCGCCCTCGGCGGGTGGCGCGACTCAGAGCAAGGCTGCCTCGCCCCAGCCCTCGAGCCCGGCCTCCAATGCGGCGCCGAGCTCCGGCGGCATCCCGCTGTCCGACCGCCTCTACATCTGCCAGGTCGGGGCCTGCGGCAAGCGCTATAAGAACCTCAACGGGCTGCGCTACCACTACCTCCACTCCGGACAGCACGGCCTGCTCGGCATGCAGCTGCTCCAGTCGGGCGGTGGATCGAGCGCCAAGGTTGACGCCAGCGGTCGGGCTCCCGTCAGCACCAGCACTCTGAGCAGCGAGGAGATCGCCGCTGCGGCCCAGGCTGCCCAGGCCGCGCAGGAGCAGATGCAGGCTGCCGCCGCCAAGTCGGCCGCCGCCACCGCCGCGTCTGCTGCTGCTGCTGCCGCTGCCGCCGCCGCCGCCGCCGCAAGCAACAACACCGGGGCCAACGGCCAGGCCTAGAGGGCGTGGGGGCGGGACGCCTCAGCACCCGCCTGGATCGTCCAACCTGCCTCGTCTGGCTGCCCCGCGCAGTCTTCCGTCTCTTGTCTCGTGTCTCAAACTCAACGATACCCCATGTATACATCTGTCCCGTCCCGCGCATCGCCCCACCCCTCTGTTGCTTTCGAGTCCCGTCCCTATCCCCATCCACCCACCGACCCGGATACGTGCTCCTGGAGCATAGAGATCTTGGAGCCGGACCATTCCCCTTTCCTCGCCATGTCTGCTGCTCCGGCTCCAGACTGGGCGGCCAGCCAAATTTGTACTTCGCGCTGCGCCGCCGCCGCTTCTCTCCTCTCTCTCTGCGTGTAAGATAGTCTTCTTTGGCCGCCGTCGACGCCGCCTGCTGGGCTCGCCGTCCTTGTCCTCCGGCCATCCCGGGTCGAGGGACGGACCCAGCGAACCCCCAAAATGTACAGAAAAGAGGCCTCAGTGCCTCGATCTTCATCTCCCTACCCCGCGCTCCCCCGCCCCGCGCCCATCTGAGCGTCCTTCGGTGCTCTCGTTGTGCTTGGCTCTGCTGTGCCGTGCCTTGATCTCTGCGTGGCAGCAGCAGCAGCAGCTCACGGCGTCTGTGGATCGTGCGGGCTGGGGGTCGGACCGGCGAAAAATCAGAAGCAAGCGGTGTGACTCGGTCCGTGCCTGGTTGCTGCAGGCCGACGAGATAAAGAAGCCGTTGAGCGGGGCGGGCCCTTGGCTGGCAACGGCGCTGCCGCCTTTCTTCCTCGACCCACCCGACCCACCCTCGCCTCTGGACCGACCGACCTTTCCTTGCCTTGCCTTGCCTTGCCTGGCCCTATCGCTTGCTCTCCTTGGCCCCACCATCTTCTCACTCTCTCTTGCCCTACTGCGCGATCCTTTCAAGTCACCACCATGACTGCGCCTCTCCAACCTGCCGCCCGCGGCGTCCTCGCATCGGCCTCTCGCACCTCGCGAGTTGCGATGGCGGCGCGCGCCCTTTCCACGAGTGCCACAGCGCCGGCCTCGGCCTCGACCTCTGCCTCCTCCAGCTCGCATTCGGCGGCGCCCAAGCCTCCGCACCTGCTGACGCTGGCCGACCTGTCGCCCGCGCAGATCCAGTCGCTGCTGCAGAGCGCCATCGACTTCAAGGCGGCCTCCAAGGCTGCATCGCTCTCGACGCCCGCCGACCTGCGCAAGAAGCTCGGCGTCCACGACTCGGCGCTGCCCCAGAGCCTCAAGGGCAAGTCGGTCGCCATCATGTTCAGCAAGCGCAGCACGCGCACCCGCGTCGCTAGCGAGACGAGCGTCGCGTCTCTGGGTGGACACCCGCTCTTCCTCTCGCCCTCGGACATCCAGCTCGGCGTCAATGAGAGCCTCTACGATACCGCGCGCGTCGTCAGCTCCATGGTCGACGGCATCATGGCCCGCGTCGGCGGCCACGATGAGGTAGAGGTGAGCAGTCTGTTGGGCGCGACGGCCGCTCGGAACCTTTGATCGCCGCCGTGTTTCTGAACGTCGACGTTCCGCCGTTGGCTCCCTGCCGGCCCTGCCCGCCCACTCCCTCTGCGCAGCTCCTCGCAAAGAACTCGACCGTCCCCGTCGTCAATGCCCTCTCGGCCCGCTATCACCCGACCCAGATCCTGGCCGACCTGCAGACGATGCTCGAAGTCTTCCCAACAGGCTCGTCGCCGTCGGTCTCGTCCAACCTCGCCTCGCTGGCCGGCCTCAAGGTGGCATGGGTGGGCGACTCGAACAACATCCTCAACGACATGCTCGTCGCCTACCCGCGCCTCGGCATCAACCTCGCGGTGGCGGCGCCTAAGGGCAAGGCGTACGAGCGCGACCAGGTAGTCTGGGGCACTATGCAGGACGGCCTGGCCGAGCTCAAGCGCAACCCGACCGGCGTCGCCAGCGGGCACGTCACCTGGTCCAACGACCCGTTGGAGGCGGTCAAGGACGCCGACGTCATCGTCACCGACACCTGGTGAGTCTGCAGTGATGGAAGCCCGTGCGGCGGCGGCGGCGGCGGCGGCGTGCACCGGGCTCGTGGCGAGTGGCTGAAGTTCCTCTGATCCCGCCTGCCTTGGCCCTCGTCCTCTAGGATCTCGATGGGCGACGAAGCGCAAAAGGAGCAGCGCCTTCGCGACTTTGCCGGCTTCCAGGTGACCGAGGAGCTGGCCAAGAAGGGAGGCGCCAAGCCCAACTGGAAGTTCATGCACTGCCTTCCGCGCAAGGCCGACGAGGTCGACGACGAGGTGAGTAGCGGGTGCGCACGAGGATGAACGCGCGCGCGCCAAAGATACGATGCTGAGCCCCGGCCCTTCCTCTCCTTTCCTCTACTTTGCGCCCGACTTGCTGCGCGGCACGCCCCGACAGGTCTTCTACAGCGACCGGTCCGTCGTCTTTCCCGAGGCCGAGAACCGCAAGTGGACCATTATGGCCATCTTTGAGTGAGTCTTCCCTTTGACGGCCGAGCGCGACACGATCCGTTGCCACTGCGACTGACCCGCCCGCCGGCCCGCTGGCCCGCTGGACCTTGGCTCACGCCCTTGCAACAGCCGCATGTTTGGACGATGGGAGCTGTGAGCCCTTTGCTGCGTCGCTGCCTCCGCTCCTTTGTATGTGCAATGCCAGCCCCGTTGCGGCCCTGTCCGCCGCGGTCCTATCTGAATCCACCTTGGCCGTCAGCCACCAGCCATCTGGAGTCACAGTGCTCAATAAGCTAGGTGGCAGTTGTCTGGGATCCGATCCCGATCGGAACCGAGGGGGCGTGCATCGCAGCCAAGCAAGGCCTCGGGGCGCTCCACCCCTTTGTTCGGGAAGGCACACGTACGGGCGGGCGGCCTCGGTCGGCCTTTCCTGATTTGCCCTGGCGCTGCACGCACGCCGCGCCTGCACGCGCATGTGCGCCCGAGCCTCTGTCCTGCCTGGCCCGCCTGCCTAACCTAGGCTGGTCGACTAGCCTGTGAACCCGAACGCGCGGTGCTGCTAGGCTGGAGGCCCGGCCGGCTCAGCATGCCCCCCTCTTCTCTCCTCCTGGCCCGCTCTGCCTTCCTGCGCCTCCTGCGCCCTGCCCCTCTGCCCGAAAGGCGGTGCTGGTATAAGAAACGTGCTGCTCGCCATCGGTCCCTCCTTCCTTCCCGACTCCCTCCATCCCATTCCATTCCGCACATCCTCTCCCGTCCTTTCGCTTTCGTCTGGATCCCTTGCCCTCTCCCTCCCTCTGTCTCTCTCTCTCTCCCTCCGCGTCTCTTCTGCGACTCGCATTCCCCACCACCTCCCCGCTGAACCCGACGTTGATCGTTGGCCGCATACACCTTTCCTAAACCGATCATCCCTCTCAAGCTTGTCTGCGACGGCTCTCCACCCTAGACGGACGGAACCACTTCTTTCTCTCGTCACCTCCCCTTTCCTCCTCACCCGCTCTCATCCTCGCCCTCTCTCGCCATGACTCCTCAGCGCTTCTTCTTTGTCGCCCTCGCCGTCGTCCTGTCGGTGTCTTCGGGCATCGCGCCGGCCGAGGCCAGCATCGATCGCGTCCGCTTCAACCAGAACGCCCTGGCCAGGAGCCACCGCGTCATGATGGACAAGGAGGACTTCGCCAAGCGCTCCGTCGACCTGCCCGGCGCCAAGCGCTTCTCGAGGCGCAAGGCCACCGCCGCCCAGCGCAAGGCCCAGGAGGAGCTCAACCAGACGGCCGCCGCGTTTGGCGCCAAGAATGCAGAGTGGCAGGCCGCCGCCATGGAGCAGCTCAAGGCCGGCAAGACGCCTCAGACGTTTGACGAGTACTTTGGCGGCTCCAACCAGGCCTCGTCCGGTGAGGCTCAGGCCAGCCCTCAGCAGGCCGACGCTACCCCCGCTCCCGCTCCCACCACTTCCAACGACAGCGGCGCGCAGTCGCAGGACGACGGCGCCGACGAGGAGTGCGCCGACGACGGCGAGGCCTCTGGCGACGCTTCGTCTGGCCAGGGCTCGACCACCGCCCCCGCTCAGCAGGACGCCAACAAGCCCACCACCAAGGTCCAGGGCGCATACAAGGCCCCCAAGACCGACGGCGGCAACGACCAGGCCCAGCAGCAGCAGCAGCAGCAGGCGCCCGCCCCCAAGAAGAAGAGCTCGCAGGGCCAGGACCAGGCGTCCTCGTCTTCGTCGTCTTCTGCTTCGTCATCGTCGTCCTCGGGCGGCAACGGAAACGCGTCTTCGTCGTCGTCGTCGTCGTCGTCGTCGTCTTCGGCCTCGTCTGGCGGCGGCGGCGACCACCAGGGCCAGGCCACCTACTACGCCCCTGGTCTCGGAGCCTGCGGCAAGACCAACAGCGTGGGCGACCGCATCGTCGCCATCTCTGCGTCGCTCTTTGACTCGTTTGGATCGGGCAACCCCAACAACAACCCCGCCTGCGGCCACAAGATCAAGGCCACGTACAACGGCAAGACGACGATGGCCACCGTCGTGGACCGCTGCGTGGGCTGCGCCGAGTACGACCTCGACTTTACCGAGACGGGCTTCCAGGACCTGGCCGACCTCGGCCTCGGACGCCTCTCTGGCATGACCTGGGAGTGGGTCGGAGGTGCCCCCAGCGCCCACTAGGTTGCTGGCATCGCCGTTGCCGTCGCCGGCGCCATCGCCATGCCTTTGCCGGACGAGCTCGCTGGTCGAGTGCGTCGATGGTAGCATCACGTTGACCGTGATGGCGTGGCTCGCGGCGGCTGCTCCCGTGGCCCTGTATCCATCGCATCGCAAGCAGGGCACTTCTGGTCAATGGCCCTTGCGCGCACGCGAAGCGATCCTGCCTGTCGTCTGTCCCACCAAGCCCTGGAGGCTGCCCTGTATCACCCTGGTTTCCGCCCGCTCTCGTCGTCGATCCGTCTTTCACCTTGACCCTTACCATCACCCGCAGCAGCAACCGCAGCAAGCAACCCTACCTTCCCAATGTATCTCTACGTCTGTCCTACCGTCCCCCCCTCGGGCCTCCCCACCTGGATGTGCGGAACATCCCCATCACTCCCCTCCCTCTCTGGCCGCGTTCGCTCCGAGTGTGTGGTTTCGTGGCCGTGGTCGGAGCGTGACCTGACCCAGGGAAGGATGGCGAGCGCGACCCTCGCCCCGCCCCCGCCTGGCTCCGCCTTTGGCCGTGGCCCGAGTCAGGAGTGGCAGGCTACCGGTAGCGCGGCCCTGATCGCTGGCCGACAACGCGACATCGAGGGTCTCTTTCGACTGCAGATGTGATGTCGGCAATGACGGGGCTGGTGTCACGGAGGCAGCTGGCGTGCGCCCACCTGTAGCTGCGTTGCCACGGCTGCTCTACCTCGCCCTGGTTGAGACAGGTCGCCCTCGGGTCTGCCCGCACGGCCGATTGGAGCGTCTTGGCAGCCGAGTCCGCTGTCCGGTGCCATCACGTCCATCCGAGCCTGCAGTCCATCAGAGAGAGAGAGGGAGGGGGGAGGGAGAGGATTGGGGGGAGCGATGTCGAATCGAGCGAGATGCGCTAGAGTCGATCGTAGCGTACCAGAGAGGGCTGGCAGGGCAGGGCAGCACCTGGCTGCAAGGGCGACCGAGGAAGAAGGATGCGATGGGGGGCCCTGGGGCGAGAGCAGCGGGGACGGCGGACAGAAGCAAAGGCCAGGCGCAGGCGCAGGCGAAGGCGCAGGCAGGGGACGATTTTTTTGGGCGCTGTCGCTGGCGCAAGCGCAAAGCGGACAGGCCACCGCGCTGGGCTGGGCTGAAGCTCGCCCTGGCGGAAGGGGCGGGCGGGCAGACAGGAAGGCAGGCACCTCGGCCCACGGCCCGCCCGCCCCTTCGCCAAGTTTCAGACACCCGCACGCCCGTAACGGTACCGCGCCGAAAGCCCCCGCCGGGCGGGCGAGGGAGCGAGGGGTCAGGCCACGGGCAGCCAGGCAGACAGCCAGACAGCCAGGACGGCCAGACGGGCAAGCCAGACCCACAGACCGACACACGGAGCGACAGCAGCAGCAGCAGCAGCGACAGCGACAGCCAGGAGAGGAGGACGTGCGCTCGACAGGCGGCCTCTCGAGACAGCCAAGCCAGCCAGGCCACACCAACGCAGCCCCGCCGAGAGCCCCCGCCCGGCATCGACCTCGACCTCGACCTCGACCTCGACCTCGACCTCAACCTCAACCTCGACTCCGACTTCGCACTAGACCACACCCAAGCACCCTTCCCTACGTCGCCCCGTCGACACCACCGCACCCTACCAGCCCGACCCGTCTCATCTCGCCTCGCCTTGTCGCCCATCCCCAACCTCGACCACTGCGGCGACCACTCGGGCCTTTGGCGCTCAAAAGCTCGCTGCGTTTTCCACGGCCCTAGCTTCGCCGGCCAAGCCGCTGGACGAGGACCGCTCACGGCGTAGCCACCAGCCACCCGGATCACCATCACCGGGCGGAAGCAGCTCCGGCTTCAATAACCTAGCAAGCCGTGCCCTCGCCGTGATCTCGTCGAGACACACACAGCACCCCTCTGTGGCCGCCTCGGGACAGCTCATACCCCTCCCGCCGCTTTGACAGCAGCCCTTGCCCGATCAATCCTACCCAGTCGCACCCGCACTGCTCGGACCCACCACTACCACCACCACAGACTCTGCCTTTCGCTCCACTGCTCGTCCCTCTGTGCGACCCCTTCTGCTCGGAACCCACGACGCCACGTCCTTGCATGATTCCACCACCGCCGCCCTGCTTGTCCATCCTCGACTAGGCGTTCCTTACCCGTCTCGCCAAGAGCCCGCCCGGCGTCCCTGTCGCGAGCGAGCCAACCTTTTTTGCCAAAGTCCTCCGAGCAGGAAGCCCCCGCAGCGGCCGACAAGCGCAGAGGAGGCAGAACGACCACCATCGTCGCTGCTGCTGCTGCTGCTGCTGCCGCCGCCGCCGCCGTTGCCTGTTCGCTCTTGGCAAGGCTTGCTGCTCGGTCGGTCATCGCCCCTCTGCGTGCGTCACCATGAACGGCGCCGCTGCCTCACCACAGCACGCTGGTGCAGGGCCATCTCAGAGACGGGACCTCGAGCGCCAGCCGACCTGGGCCAAGTTCGATTTCGGCGGCGACTTCGACCTCGACCAGTCGACGCCGGCATCAGAGCGTCCCGGCGACGCTGGACCCAGCCGAACCAAGCAGGCAAGAGGTAAGCCTCGCGAGTCGGCTAGTCCAGGATCCTGCTGCCAACGGTCCACAGGGCCTCGCCCGCTGACATGCTTCCGCGTCTCTGAACCGTATGGCCCTCAAGGCTTCCCAGCTCCCCTCTCGACGTCCAAGGCCTTGCAGGGTCAGGGCTCGGCAAGGATGGGAGACTTTGCAGGCGCTGATCCGATGATAGCGCATCCAGAAGCGCTTGCTCAGGGGGGCTTCGATCCGCGCCTCACGGCTGCCAGTGGAGCTGCGTCGGCAGCGCCTGCTGCTCCTGCCGCTGCCGGCCAGAGCGACTGGAACCGCACCCCGAGACTACAATCAGAGTTCGCAAACGGCTTGTCTCGTCAGTCGCCCGACCAGCGGGCTGCCGCCGAGCGCCCGCAGTTTACGCCGAGCAACGGGCAACGGCCCTTTGCGGCCGGTGCCATCTCGGCGTCTCCGGTATCCACCCCGCGCGATCAGCATCGCGCACAGATGGCAGCCGCGGCCTCTTCGAGCCCCTCGTACGCGAGCGCCGGATTCGATTCGGCAGTCAACACCACCCCAAAAGCGACCGGGACCAACAGTTTCATCCCCCAGCAGCAGCAGCAGCGGCAGCAGCACCGTGCGGCGACGCACGAGCCGGCCTTTGTCGAGCGTCAGGAGCAAAGGCCGCCCCTCCACCGGCCGATTTCGTCGGCCGACGCCTATAACCAGCCCGATCCGGTGCTCGCGTCGCTTGCGGCCGCTGGCAGCGGCGGCGGTAGCCGACCGGGCACCGCCCTCAGCCAGATGAGCGGCGAAGGTTGGATGTCCGAGGGCGCCGGCAACCGCAGCAGTTACAGCACCAACTACAGCGCCACGGGCAAGGAGGCCAGGCGCGCTTCGGTGCTCTCGTTCCAGACGGCCATGAGCGGGGGCGGCCTGGACGGCTTCGCCAGCGGTGATGAGGCGAGGACATCCAGCCGTGGCGGCGACGACAATTTCGAGGAGGCCACCGAGGCACTCGCTGCCAGGCCGGTGCCGGGGACCAAGAGTGGCAGGGCTCTTCGCGAGAGCATCCAGCCCTGGCTCCAAAACTCCAACTTCAGCGGCTACGGCTCTTCGCCCGATGAGCGAACTCTGCCCGGCGCCCTCCCTCCAGGCGCCTGGGGCGAGCCAAGCTACCGCAACAGCACGTCGAGCCCGGCTTCGCGCACGGTACCGCTCTACAGCTCGTATCGCCAAAGTCCCAAGACGGCCAGCTCGGCGCTTCCTCCGCTTCCACAAGAAGAGCCCGCCTTCCAGCCGGTGCCACCCCCGGTGCCCGCCAAGGCGACTGCGTCTCTGCCGGCGACCAGCCCCAAGCTGCCCCCGCTCCAGATGCCCGATCTGCTCTCCATCCCCCGGTCCTCGGCGGCGGCAGGGCCTCCCTCTTCGACAATCGGCCCGTCTTCGGACGCCGGACAGACGGTCGGACCGCCCTCGGCCAACGAAGCCGTATCGACCGCGGCCGCAAGGTCCGGCATCGCTTGGGCCGACGCCTCCGGATCCATGCCATCGGCCGGTGCATCCGGTCGCGATGCGGGCGTCGAGACGGCGAGCACCGTGGACGGACCTCTCTCGGACAATGTGATCCCGCCGCCATTGCCGTCGGAAGTCGCAGAGGCGGCTCATCGTCCGGGTGAGTCGCCCGTCACGCCCGTGGCGCCCGTCGCCCAGAAGCCGGTGTCGGACTTTCGACGAAAGCCGCTGGCCAACCTCGGCCCCGAGGAGCCGGCCGCTAGCCCGGCGCACCTGCAGTCGCTGAGCGAGCCCGGTCGAGCGGGCGTCGTCGGCACGGCAGGAGATGCTGGACAACGCGCTAGTGAAAGCGGCACCGCTGCGACGGCCGCGAAGGGACTCGAGGCGGACGGCGAAAACGCTGGCGCGGCCGCGCCTATCTCGACCCCTGCGGATGGCAGTGCCGTCCCGGCCGACCGTCAGCGACGCCCTTCCAGCGCCAGCCTGCTGCCTACGGCTGCGCTGGCCCAGCCGCCGCAACCGACGGCGGCGTCTGCCGCGCTCCTCGAGCGGTCCGCATCGCCCAGTATTGAGGGCCCGTCAAGGGAGCCGAGCCCTCCGCCGGACGGCGAGGTCGAGGCGAGGGCCGAGTGGGAGCGCACGCAGATGAAGCGCAAGCAGAAGCGCGAGGAGTCGGCCGCGAAAACGAGCAGGACCTCTGGCACCCTGCGCAGCCAGCTCAGGCCGCTGCAGCTCGTGCCCGCAGAGTCGGTGCTCGGTCCGGTCGAGGACGCGAGGACACCGGTGTCGGCGCACGTCCAGGATCCCGCAGCCTGCACGTCGCCCAGCAGCGCACGGCGACCCTCGGGCGCGGCGCTCGACGGAGTCTCCGGCACCAAGGACGGCGGCAACGCCAACAACAGCAGCACCAATCCCAACCGGCAATCCAACGCGTCGGATGCCGTCGTCAGCACGCAGCAGCTGCAGCGGAACCAGGCACGGGAGCAGAGGAGGAGCGTCGGAGCCTTTAGCGCCTCGATGGCGGCCGCCAACGCCGTCTCGGGCGGGTCCAACGGCCCTTACCCCGTCTTCACCTCGCCGACCGTGGCGAGCAAGAAGGGCGCGCGGCAGTACCCTGGCATCATGCCGCAGCGCAGCCTGGTGCCGCCGTTTGAGCTGCAGAACCGGCCCGACGGGCTGCCGTCCGGGCTGATTGGACCCGACGGCGTCCGCCGCAGCATCAACGACCCCGAGGTCTGCCTCGAGTGCATGATGCGCGACGAGGACATGATCGACGTGCAAGTCGTCGGCGAGGGCATCTGGGAGCGCGAGAGCGACAAGGACTTCCTCGAGGCGGTACGATTCGAGGCTGAGGAGGCCTCCCGGCAGCACCAAAGGGCTGCCACCGAGGAAGGCGAGGGCGGCAGCGTTCACGAGCACAGCAGCAACCACGGCAGCTCCTCGCAGCGCCATACGCTATCGTCGTCCGAGCGCGCCCAGAGCCGCAACGCGACGCTGCCGCCGAGGCCGCGGCACAAGAAGATCGGCAAGGGCGAGCCGCTGACGTCGGAGAGGCTCAAGCTCCACACTCAGATGAACCCGCCGGCGTCGTCGCATCGCTGGCGCACGCTGCAGACGTTCCTGGCGGTGCAGGCAAAGTACATCGCCATGGAGCACGAGAGGCTGAGGCACGAGGCAGAGCGTCGACGTTCGACCGCCATCGCGCCCGGAGCGACCACCGCCGGCGCCGGCGGGCGTGGCAGCCCCGATCCTGGACGCCAGTCACCGGTGCCCGCCGGCACACCTGGCCGCGATGCCGCTTCGAGCCTGCGCAATCGCAGCTCCTCGGGAAGCCTCCTCAAGAACGCCATCGTCATGGACGACGACGGCCTCTCGCCTGCAGAGCGCGAGGAGAAGCTGCGCGACATTGCCTCAGCCCGTGCGGCACGCAGCAGGGCCGCAGGGCTTGGAGCTCCACACCCCGTCGCGTCCACCCCGCCAGCTTTGCCCTCAGTGCCTCCCGTACCGCGGCCCGTCTCGTCTCTGCAGCAGCCGCCGGTCCCGGCGGCGGCAAGCGATGTCGTGCCTGCGAGCAGCGGATGCCTTCCTCAGTTGGGCACACCCGTCCGAACAGGGGCAGCGGCCGGAAAGAGGACCAGCAGCGCTCACGAGCTGCGTCCGCCCTCGGGCGCCCTCTCGTCCCCGGTCCCGTACCCGCCCAGCCCCGCCGAGAGCCTGGCGCCTCCCTCCCGTCCGTTTGTTCCGACTTCGCCGAGCGCGTCCTCGCGCCTCGCCTCTCGGTCTGGAGCTTCGCAGCTTTCGCTCATGCACAGCGGCTCGATGATCGACATGCACGTGGCGCTCGAGGATCGCAACGAGCACCGCCTCAACCAGGCCGGCTTCATCCCCGGCACTCCGATCGCCATGGAGAGCCCCGGCGCCATGAGCCGGGCCTTTTACGGCTTCCCTGGCGACGGCGAGGTGCCCGCACCGGACATGGCGGCAGAGCAGGCCCGTATCGTCCCCGGCGAAGGTTACGTGGACCCAGAGCGGGCGAGGCCCGAGGGCATGCGCTCGTCGCCGGCGCGGGACGAGTCGATCAAGCGAAAGAAGAAGGGCTTCCGCGGCTTCATCTCGAAGCTGACGGGCAGCGGCGGGGGCGGCTCGACTGGCAACGGCAGCAGCCACACGGCCGGCGCCTCGGGTGCTGGCAGCGTCAACGGCAGCGTCGCCAGCCGGAACGCGAGCAAGCGTTCGCGCTCCTCGTCCAGCCCGCGGGCCGCGTCGGCCTCGCTGCCCTACGATCCCACCGTCGATCCCGTCCCGACGCAGATCAATGGCGGCGGCGGTCTGATCAGCAAGGCGAGGAAGTCGATGTCCCTCTTCACCGATCCCACGCAGGCGCAATCGGCGGATGACGAGGCGCTTCTGCGATCGAGATCGCAGACGCAGCTGCAGAGCCTCCCGGCGCCCTTTCAGAATCCGCCGGGCATGGCGAGCCAGTCGAGCCTGGACCTGGGGCCCTTCCAGCAGCAGCCGACGTCTTCGAGCCCAGGTGGCAAGGGGGGAGCGGCTGCGTCGGCGTACAGCAGCAGGCGAGCCAGCAACCTCGCTCCTTCGGGCCTCTCTGCGGGGCCG